ACGCGGGCGGCGGCATGGCGCCGGCTGAGAGGGTCGCGCATTGCTCGGGCGCCACCGCGAGCACCCCGTCGATGAGGGCGGCGATGCGGTCGTTTGTCACCGTGTGGCCGAGCCGGTCGAGCAAGCCCTGAAGGAACCGCTCCATCCCTTCGCGCGACGCGGGCGCGCGGGCGTTGGCGGCGAGCGTGCTGAAGAAGTCGGAGTCGCACTGGATGCACTCGATGTCAAAGACGTCGAGCGAGCCGAGGGTGGCGCGGAAGTCGGCGAGGCGGAGCCCGCCCGGCGCCACGGACGCGAGCCAGCACTGCCAGTACAGCGCCTCGGACGCGTAGACTGAGGCGAGCTTGTGCGCGTCGATGCGGAGGAGGAGCTCGAGGAAGAGGGTGATGTGCGATGCGGCCACGCTGATCTTGAGCGCCTCCGTCGTGAAGTTGTCCCCCCTGACGCGCGACTCCTTCAGGTCGGGGCCGATCAGCACTGGACCGGCCGGCTCGTACAGCCGCACCTCGGCGTACAGCGAGAGGCCCACCGGCCGCCGGTCAAGCCCGACGGTCCCGCTCGTGGCGAGCGTCTGCGGGCCGCTCGGCTCCACGCTGACGCCGTTGACGGTGTCCAAGTTGCTCACCGACACGTTGAGCACCACGAGCTCGATGGTGTGGGCGATGGCGTAAAACCTGAACGGCATCTCCACCGCGACGCCCTCCACGTGCACCAGTGGCGTGCCAGCGACGGGGAGTGCGTCCCGCACCAGCCCGCTCACCGCCGAGAGGCCGTCCTCCCCGTCCTCGACGAGCCCGTTCACCGCGGCGAGCGCCTGTACGATCAGGAGCTCCGCGCCCGGGGCGCAGAGCGCTGAGCGAGCCATGGCGGGCAGCCGGCACGAGAAGTTGATCAGCTCCGGCTCGCCCAGCACGGCGGGGGTCTGCACGGCGGGGCATGCGGCCGGCGTGCGCGTCGGCTGCTCAAGCAGCCGAGAGATGGCCTCGTTGGCAGGGCCGAGGCCCAGCTCCTCGACGGCACTGGGCATCGCCGCGAGGAGGGCCGGCTCCCAGACTGCCTCGACCTGCGGACACGTCGCAGACGTGCGCCCGTGCCGGCGTGTTGCGCTGTGGGTGGGGGCTGGTCTGCGGGTGGGGCTGTGCTGTGCGCGCGCTGCTGCGTGCTGTGTGGGGCTGTGCGCGCGCTGCTGCGTGCTGTGTGGGGCTTTGCGCGTGCGGCTGTGTACTGTGTGGGGCTGTGCCGTGGGGCTGTGCCGTGGGGCTGTGCCGTGGGGCTGTGCCGTGGGGCTGTGCCGTGGGGCTGTGCCGTGGGGCTGTGCCGTGGGGCTGTGCCGTGGGGCTGTGCCGTGGGGTAGTGTGCCGTGGGAATATGCCGGGGGAATGCGAGGCGGGGTGCACCGTGTCAAAGACGGTGGAGGCCACCTGCGTGACGCGCGCGTTGATGAGGCCCTGCACGCGCGGGAAGGCGATGTCGCCGACGCGGAGAGCGAGGCTCGGGATGGCCACGCCGAACACCGCGTCGAGGAGGCAGCCGGCGGGAGACCGCGCGATGCTGCCGATCTGTAGGGTGGTGAGGGCGTCCTCGGAGAGCGCGACGAGCGTGTCCAGCTCAATCTCGAGGTCGGCGAGGCCGAGGGAGACGGAGAAGGCGTCGAACGGGGGGGGCTCCCCGACCGCGACAGCGTCTTCGATCCCGACGCTCAAGTCGAGCTCGATGCTGAGGCTGTCGAGCTCGAAGGCGTGCCGCAGAGTGTATGGGCCGACCACCGCCATCTCCTCCACGACCCGAAGCGTCTCGAGCCCGGAGATGGTCAGCTGCTCAAATCCGAGGAGGACGCGGGCGTCGCCGACGGCGCCGAGATCAAAGATGGAGGCGTTGGCGCCCAGCGCCGTCACGTTGACGGAGAACTCGCCCGCCGCGACGATGGCCCCGGCAGCAAGGCCGACGATGGTACGCAGCACTTTCAGAAACGGGCGCAGCGAGAAGCGGCGCTCGTGGGCGGTGGGCTGCGGCGCCGTCTGCCGGAAGCCAAGGAAGCCGAGCCCCTCCTCGACCGCGGGCGGGGGCGACGAGCTGTCCGTCGTCATGACGACCAGCGTCTTGTTCTGAGCCGCCGCCGCGGCCGCCATGTCGGCCTCCGCCTCGACCACGCGGCTGCCGCGCGTGATGTTTTGGTCAAGGGAGCGCTGCACGTGCGGCTCGAGCAGGTCGTAGGCTGCTGCGGAGGCGTTGGCGAGGGCGTCGATCAGGGGCCCGCCCATCTGATTGCAGATCTCGCTGTCGATGTCCTCCTTTACGAAGCCGAGCAGCGCGCTCTCGACCCGCTCCCACGACACGAGGCCCGCCACCGCCCCTCCATCGATACTGTCAATGTTGAGCGGCAGCGAGGCGTCGCACCGGTCGAGCCGCGGCGGCAGTAACGGCTCGAGCTCCGCGTAGGGCGGGGCTCGCGTCACCCGCGCGGTCTCTGCCGTGATGTCAAACTCGAGCACGGCGCCCGCTGCGCTCAAGTTGATGTCGCCCTCTTCACGTACTATGCCCCACTCGAGCGACCACTGCCCGGTGCAGGCCACCTCGAGGCCGCGAACGGCGCCGCTCACCCTGGTGGCGCCGGGCTGCGGCAGCGCGCGCAGCTCCACATCTGCCACCCGGAGACGGCTGCACTCGATGTCCCACGCCTCGACGGTGGCGGGGCCCACCTCGGTCGCGATGGGCGGAATAGGGACGGTGACCGCCTCGAGCAGGCGGTTCAAGAGGCCAAAGTCGTCGCTGGCGGCTAGCGACGGGGCCGCGAGAAGCGCGAGCATGGGGCTCTCGCTCACAAGGAAGGTGGGCCGCGCAAATGAGCCGAAACTATCACGCGAGAAAAGAATTACTCGGGCGAGGACCTGAGCAATGATATGACTGGGCGGCAAATGATCGCAGTGGGCGTCAGAAGACTCGTCCTTGCGCGAGGAGGGCGGAGGAGCTGCGCCGAAAGGCGGGAGAAGCCGCGAGAACAAGGGACCGGCGGGCGGCGGCGGCGTCGCAGAACGAGGCAGAGGAGAGCGACGCGACAGAGGAAGAAGCGACAAGGGAGAGAACGACGAGAGTGGGACGACCGCGAGGTGGCATGAAGGTTGCAGCGAGAATCGGCGAGAGACTGCGAAGAGAGATAGGAAGAGGCGGACGCCCAAGGGTGGGCGACGGCTAGCGCATCACACCCCTCTCCTTAAAATCCCTGTGTGGTGGCGGCGTGCCGTCCTCCATCCCTCCCTTGGGTTGTCCGTTTTCTTTCTTTTAGAAATTCATTTTTAAGAAGTGTTACTTAACACTTAAGGGGGGGGGGGGAGAGAGACCCAAGTCCACTCTTCCGGCGTGGGTTCCACCTTCCTTGCGGTGGCCTTGGGCCGTGGGGCCGGTTGCACACGGACACTACCGAGCGACACCCCCTCGAACACAGGTAACAGAGAAGGTCGCCAATTGGGCTCTAACTCACGTACATGAGAGAGAGAGAACCCCCTCTCTCTTTTCTCCCAGTAAGCTAAAAGTACACAGACAGGTACATGAGGCCTCTCGAAAAAATGCATTGACGATTCCCGTGAAACTTGTAATCATTCGTTCAATGTTCTTCGCCAGCGGCCCGATCCCAGCTTCGTCCAGTCGCTGTCCAGTCGCGGTGCATCCGTCGATTGGCTGAGCGGCCAGCTAATTCAGCCAGTGCGCTCAATGTTCCAATCGATCAGTACCAAGCAGGCGACGACGTCCGCCTTTTGCATGCTCAAAAATCCCGGCGGCTTAGCGACTCTGCCTCTGGTCACATCACTGAGCCTCGAGATGCACCTCTTGCCCCCGCCCGTGCGCACATCCTTTAACCAGTGGAGAGCTTCAAACCCTGGTCGCGAGCTCCTCTACTACTCGGATGCAACGATGCGGGATTACGTCTTGGCCAAGTGCGAGGCGATTGGACCGCCGACATGCCGGGTGGAGGCGTTCGCGCTGCTCCAATCTGGTGCAGCACGCGCCGATTTCTTCCGCATGGTGCGGCTCGCCTGTGACGGTGGCATCTGGTTTGACGCCGACATGGCACCGAGCAACATGAGCCGGTGCATGCGCACGCCATCGGCGAAGCAGCAAACAAGGAAGATGCCAGGAATGCCGTACTCGGCCACGTTCTTCCGCTTTGCAAACACCGTGTACCCACGGTATGACCTCATGGCAGCAAATCCTGGCCACCCCATTATCCGTGCGACGCTGCGCCAGATTTGCGAGAAGGTACTTGCACTCAACGCGTCTGGCTTGAACGGCACGGGCCTCGTGAGGCTCCAGCCATCTAGCAGCAGGCTGATGGGCATCACGGGCCCACACGTGCTGCAGTGCGTCATCTGCAACCACTCGCTTGACACGGCGGGCCGGCCGTTTGTGAAGAGGAGCAAAAGCCTCTGCTCTTACGGCCACGGAAACACTGCCTCAGGCCGGCACTTGGAAGGCAACTTGCACGGCTCAAGCCGCTTTGGCGACTTCAAAGGAGCTCTGCGAGTAGGCTCGGGCGTGGTGGATGGTGTGGAGCCGAAAGCTAGCTTTCTCTTTACAGCATGCCCAGCGGTGAAGCAGATCAACTTTTTGAAATCGAAGATTTGGCGAGGCCTGCACTTGGCGAACTGGCGCCACGTCAACGGTGGGCTGCGGCGGCAGTGAGATCGGCAAAAAATCTTTTTTGAGAGCGCCTTCGTTGTTAATAATAATACACACGGTCACCGACGGTCGTCTGCTGGTGTAGCCGCACGACACGCACACACTCACACCCACACCGCACCGCACTCCGCACATCCAGGGCCGGGGAGCTAAGAAGCGCACCCAGCGGGCCGGATGATTGGCATCGGGTTGCGGCCTCCTTGCGTTTCTCACTTTCCGGGACCACCGCCTTGTGAGGCAGGATCTAGCAGGAAAGTGGCGGCTACCCCGTACGCCCAGCCTTGCTGCGCTGCCGAGCCACTCTGGCGCCAAGAACTCGCGTGCATGTCAGATAGCGACGGGCCGGACCTCTCCTGCTTCGACTTTGGCGAGGAGGAGGAGGAGGAAGTGTCGCCGCCGCCCGCCACACCGCCGCCGCCAGCAACCAAGGGTCCCAGCAGAGCGGCGAAGCGCGCGGCCAAGAAGCAACAGGAGGAGGCGGCCCGAGAGGCGAGGATTGAGCAGGAGAAGGCGGCTCCAGCGTCCTCGCCGCCACCACGCGCACCTGGCACGCCCGCAAGTCTGGGCGAGTTTGCTCG